GTGCCATAGCGAGCCTACCCCCGGGAGCAACTCCTCTAGCTCACTGCTGTAGCCAAATCCTTGTAAGAAAGAGCAGATAAACACCTGATTGAATTGCCCTATTAATTGACTCGACCAAGTGCGGGACTGCGATGTCATCTGCGTGAAACCACTGCTGGTCTTTTAGCACACAGGTTCTGTAATGTCCTTGGTGAGTCGAGGGGCCTATGTGATGAACCAGAGCTACCACTTTATATTCTTCCCAGCTGATTCCAAGGTCCTGGCCAGTGAAGATCGGGATTCTGATTATGGATGGGAGCTGAGGTGGCTGCTCATTTTTCCTGTGCTGAGTGAACCTAGGGATCTGAAGAGCTAAGTGGTCAAAATGCATGGGCAGAGCATGAATGTAGGCTTGCATGTGCCACGCTATGATCATGCTCTGGAGAGTCCAATCTGCTGTCTGTGTCAGAGGGATGGGAGCAACTCCAACATCTTCTCTAATTGAACCCTCTCCGAGCTGAGATCTCGACTCCCATCTTCCCAAGATGTCGGTTGCCTGTGTCAGAAGAATCGCCTGCAGAAACTCTGCTGCATCTTTCTGCGTGCCATCAAAGACCCAATGAGCAGTGACCGCCCTGAAGGAGGAGTGCTCTGGATTAATTATGGAGAGCATTCCCCTAGTGAATGGTTCTCTCAGCGGGCCTGCGCGCCTTAGCTGAGGCTGTTGCCACAAAAGGCACTGGAAGACCGAGTTTGCGTAGCAGTGATTGGCTGCAGGTCAGCTGAGTTGTGGTTGAGGTCACGGGGGAGTGGGTTACCAAAGTGACAGTGGGTTTAAAACTCTGCTTGATAGCTGTGCTCTCCTGCTCCCTACTAAGCCCGAGTTCCTGCGTACTCTGAACTGCGTGTGCTTGTAGGAGAGGGACACACTGCCTGACATGTCGTCCTGGTGCATCCACCTGAGTCTCACAGAATCTGCATTTGTGCCCCTTCTCCACCATTACTTTGAAGGTGTCCAGCTTAGGCTCTATGTCCGGCCAGACCTTGCTCATGGTCGTAAGATGCTGCTTGTTTAGATGCTGCTTGACTTCATGGCTAGTTTTTGAGAACAGAGACAGCACCTTTCTCTAAGTTGTTCCCTGAATGCCGGATTCAGAGCTGCGTCTCCTGGATCTAGAGCGACCTGTGCGATGATTGACGGTCTGTCTGCAGCCGCCGGTGCTTCTTCTCCCGGCGTATATTCATCTACTAGTTGCCATAGCCTTTCTCTGTGTAGGCAGTTCGATGCCTCGACATGCTTCTTTAGATGAAAGAAGGTTCTAAAGCTAGTGTTGCAAGCTTTACATGTTGTGGTTGAGGGAAGAGCATCATACTTCGGATCAAACTTTGGTCCCTTTAAGGAGACAAGGTCTCCTTCATGTGACCTTCGAATATGTCTGCGGAGAGGGCCTGTGCTGCTGAATTCCTGGCCGCGCATGCCACAGGTGATATTCTCCTTTTCCACTTGATTGACCTCAGGCGAGGGCATTGTTTCTAATGTTGTTAGAATGGACTGATGCCTCCACAGATAGGAGCCAACAATTCTTCTTTCTTCAGCATCCTTTCCAAGCTGTCTTTGCTGAAAGGACTGAGATCTAGCTTGAAGCTGTTCCCTTGGGAGAGTCATCTTCTTCCTAGACAGAAAATCTGAGTTCAGTTCGTGGGTTACTCTAGAGAAACTTCTGGTGACAAACCTGGCTTGATATGTGAAGACAGACGTCAGACGCTGGAGACCGGCTGTCGTTATGCCCACAATGTGCAGAGCATACGTGGCTGAGGCCCAGGCTGTGGCTTGCCAAATCTGGATTCTTTTTGCTTCTGGTAGTGATGACATGTGACACGTCTCTTAAGACTTGCTTGCTGCAGGCTAGTCTATGCTTGAGGGTTTGGTCTTCGTAGTTGATATATGAGATTATCACCCCTAAATAGGGAGCAGTTCTACGGATAGGGACCAAGTTACCGTCTGGAAGCTTGATGTGCATACCCTCATTTTTGATTTTGACTCTGTATTTCGACAGCTCTTGTTGCGCCGAGGATCCTGTGGCTGAGATTAAAAGGGCTGATTTCTTAGGGTTGACTTTAAAGCCCATTTCCTCCAGGGTCTTTAGCAGCTCAGAGCAATGATTGAGGACCTGCTCAAATTCACTCCTGTTTTTAAAATGCTCCTGCAAGAGAGTATCGTCTGCATACAGGGTGAGTATTTGCAAGGCTTTGTCCTCTCCAATCTTCTCCGCCGTTCTCCTGAAGAACAGAGCCGTTGCTACCGCAAAGAGGGAAGGGGCGAGCTTGCAGCCTTGCTTTATACCTCTTTTAGTGATGATGGAGAAGTCTGTGCCATCTACGATCATTTTGTAGAGCGCTTCTAGATGGAGCTTGCCTTCAATTTCAACCAGTTCGGGAGCTAGTTGTATGTCCTCCAGAGCCCTTCTCAACCATGTCAAAAGCCTTTGACATGTCCACACTCAAGGTGAGGCTGCCAATAAACTGAGGACCCTGAAATCTCTTTCCTGCCTCACGTTTATAGAGGCGATGCGTTTGTCTGCCTTCGTCCATATGCTTAAGGGCCTTGCTTATTGCTTCTTCGGTTCCTCTGTTCGGAACAAATCGAATTGAGGAACGTTGTTGACGGACTGACGCAGTCTATCTTTGATTAGCTTGCGGACATGTCCTGCTAAGATCTTGCCTTCTGGTGCTATGACCCCAACTGGTCGAAGCTTTTCTGGCTTGTCAGGCTTTTTCCCTGGTTTTGGGAGCCAGGCTATTTGTGAGCTTGTTAGGTCCGTGGGGAGCAACTCCTTGGATGTGTCCTCCTCCAAGATTTCTGCTATCCTCTGCATAGCTTCTTGGGAGCAACTCCGCCAAGCTGATATTGGAGCTGAGTTGACTGGAACTGCCTTTCCTATCTTAATGCTGGACAGTTGCTCTTGCGCATCCTCCGCTGTGATGCTGATTCGGGTCGCCTCCCGTCATGGGGAAGTCATCGCCTGTTCCAAAGAGATCGGCTGAGTAATTTGTCAACTCTTTGATCTCCTCTGATTTCCTAAGGAAGCGGCCTTGTGAATCTCTGAGCTGAACTTTTTCTTCCGCTTTCCACTTGCGAAATTTCTTTATGGTTTTATACAGGGAATGACCCCCATCGAGTTGCTGTTCTCTCAGAGCACTTTCAAGTGCTGCATCTAGTTGCTCCTGCTTCTGGGCCTGTTTAGTTTTTCGCGAGTTTCTTGCTCTTATTCTGGCTGCCGCAAGAGACCTCCACTTGTGGAAGGATATTCTCAGCTTTAAGTCTGGGAGGAGGTCCGACATGGCCTCAGGGAGTTCAGAATGTGCTGAATGGCTCTTTCAGCTCTCTAATGGTCCACTGCTCTGACTGAGTTACGCGCGACTGAAGGGATATACCTCCTTAGCAGCATCAGACAGGGCTTTGTTGAAGGCTGGCCATGCCATGTACGAGGGGCCGTTCTCTCGATGCACTCATCTATCTTTTGAGTCAAAACGTCTGTGCGGCCTGAGCCAGTTCTGTGGTCATAGTCCATAGCCTGTACATCATAGGGCTTGGATTTACTTGCCGTGTAACATCTTTCATGATGGAGCCGACCTATGAGCGGCAGATGTCTGCTACCTTCTCGCCAAGAAGCTACCTGGAAAGTGCGGAGTGGCTTGCATGACTTGGACTGGCCTAGGGCTTGCCTTATTCTACCGATGGCAAAGTCAATTTGAGAGACGCTGTTGCCTTGGAAATGTGTGGCCGGCTTACCTGTGGCCCACGTATTAAGTGCTGTCAGCTGATGCTCTTCCAATAGATTCTGGAGTGGTCTTACGCTTCTGAGCTTAAGCCTGGGACCTCTGACAGTGCACGGCCCTACATGTCTTTTATCTGAAACCAGCGGAGAGTTGAAATCGCCTGCCATCAATAAGGTGTTTCTATTAGGGAGATGACTAAGATGCTTTGCAAGTTGATCAATCAGCTTTTGACGTTGTGCCTTATTGGCTTCCGTGGAAATAGTACTTCTCCAAACAAATTGGTACACTGAGATGACGTCCAGAGACACAGTTTCCCCTGGAACTCTTACATGGAGGACTCTGCCTGGTTGCACTTCAGTGTACCGTAAGCTCTGTGCCTGACAGAGGGTTTTCCTTACCATGATTGCCACTCCTGCTCCTTTCTCGCCATTGCTGCCTGAGGAGATTACATGCCAGCAGTCTCTGGTGAACTGCGAAACTCCTCTCCAATGTGTTTCCTGCAGAATGACCAAGGAAACTTAAGCATATTGAGGGTCCGCCAGCTGGGAGAGCAATTCTTCCCAAACCCCTGAGGTTAGACCGCCAGTGTTCCAGCATAGGTATTTGATTGAATGGGTATCTCTCTGCCTTGAGGAGGCCTGAGGTTGCGTTCTCGTGTTTGAGATCTGGCTCCGTCCTCCTAGGGCTTTAAGGGACATTGTTCTCCCTTTGTAAACTGCTGTCCCATTCACCTCAGCTTGATGAATGGCACGTTGATGTGACTTTTTTGGTGCCATTCTGAACTGACTCACTGTGGCGCTGTTTCGCTAATCCGATTGGGTTAGCTCCTGCTGGTTGCGCACACCAGCAACCCTCCCCTTTCAGGGCCAAGGCCCTGCTCGGAATTGGGACCGAGCCACTCAGAGTGCTGACACAATCGCCATTGCTCGCAGGGGAAAGCAGGACTGTACTACCCCGGACCCCTACGTCTGAGCTCGAACGGCTACAACAACAACAACAACCACAACAACAACAACAACAACAACCACAACCACAACCACAACAACAACCACAACCACGACAACAACAACAACATCAACAAGCTAGGCAACAACGACAACAAAAGCGTTTGATTCCTAGCTTGATTCTTACCCGTTTCATTTGTAACTTCAGCAGTCGGAACCCCCCGCCCCATGAATGCCGCTACACGCGTTGTTTCTTTGTCAGAGGGTTCCTTGGCAAGACAAAGGCAACAGAGAGGAATGTCAATGCCCCACTTTCCCACCCGTGTTACTTGTTTTTTTCTGATGCTTGTTGCGCACAAAGGCACTTTGGCGAAAGTTGGTCACCCAATGGGCCAAAGAGCATGGGCTTCGTGGAGACAGCTTATTCCTCTCGGACATGATGGGTCAAGAAATACTACTGGATCAAAGCCCTGCTGTACAAGCTGAGCCAACACTTGGTTCCCCGGTACGTGTGACGATCGGCTTGAAAGAAGGAACCTCGTCACAGGAGGTGGAGTCCTGGAAACTAGCCGGTGGCCACCTACATAGAGATGAGCCTGTGCATGCACTTTCTGATGGCAGACAGCGCGTGCGAGTGACAGCTTGGTGTAATGACAGCGAAAGCGTTTCCAGCTCGCTGACGTTCCGCGTGTTGCCAACTGCAGGCTTGCGAGGATTGATGGTGGATTGGTGTAGCAGGCAGGGTGTAGATCTGGCGGACGTCTCTTTCAAAATGACGTCTGGGCATGAGCTGACAGCGGCAGATACGCTACAAAGCCTGATGCCGGATGCAACTCTCCCGCGCGAGGATGTGATCGACGTCCGTGCAGAGCCGAAAGGCACAGCGCGCCCCGAGTTGACCGTCCAACTGCCTGACATGCAACTCCCCTCCGCAGTGCCAAAGGATGGTGCAGCAAAGCCAGCCGCGCCGCGAGTTCAAGTCCGAATCGCTGCAGAAGGGATCTTGAGCGAGCGTTTGAGAGCATCCACAGATCAAGCTGGATTGAGTTTCAAGACCAAGTTGTATGCGCCGGTGAGTAAGGTTGCTGCTGCTTGGTGTAAACATCACGGACTAGCCGCCGACACCATCGTTGTTTCGTACCAGGGCCGAGCCCTTGAAAAAAGTGACACTCCAGCAACACATGGCTGGGAAGCGGGTACAGAGGTGATCCTAGAAGCCCTGCACGTCAGTGATCCGCGAGCGCAACCCTCGAAAATATCCAAACCGCAAGCAGGGCAAGCAGGGCAAGCAAGTTGCAAGGCAAGTGAAGAGATGTTGGAGAGGACTTCTTTGTCCAGCCAGGAGCCTGGCCAGGACCGACCTGGCCGTGCCCTGTTGAAGGTTTATGATGACCAGGAATGCATTGAGTTCTGGATGCGACCTTCCACCACTTTCGAGCGGATGATGACTGCATGGCGACAGGCACGTCAGCTCCAGCAAGGCCAGCAGGTCCGCTTTGAGCTCAAGGTGGACGATGCCAAGGGCCTCCGCGCAGGGGACCTTGGCTCCGATGAGACACCGGCCCAGAGAGGTTGGTCACAAGGAGTCGCGCAGGCCTCAGGCCTCAGGCAAAACCACCAATATTTGCTTTGCATTGCTTTGCATTGCTTAGCTGTTGTGGACTCATTTCGCTGGCCTTTCTAACTGGTTGAGGTGTTGATGGTGCGTGCACACGCAGTGACTTGGCAACGTGGGAATGTGTAAGGTGGCGGCTGCGTTGTTGATGCCGTGAAACAACGCCCGTGTTCTTGCTGCTAAGGAGGTACCTCCCGCTGATCCGAGCTTCGTCTCAAAGCAGACACGCCCAGCACCTACACTTGGGATCGCCCATTTGCACTTGTTGCTCCAAGGAACGGCACCATGTCCATCAAAGTCGAAGCAGACAGCCCAAATGGCGTGAATGAAGTCAAGTTCAACATGCCTAACTGGCATGTTTCTTGCCAGTTGCATGACAGAGTGGCGATGCCGTTTTTGCAGCGCCAAGCGTTGTTGCAAGCGTGACGTGCCTGTTGGGTGCGCGGTTTTTCGTTTTCTGCCTTGTAACCCCACTGCAAAGTGAAGCGATGCAATCCTCCAATCTTCCCTTAGGGGCGGCAAAGTATCCTCAGATGCCCTCGCAGAATCTGAAGACATGTTGGACACATGCAAGATATGACATGGCAAAGTGCAGCTTTGAGCTAGTCCGTTGCAAGGCGTCTGTCTGCACCCTTGGGGAAGATGATGAAGGCAGGGGTGGATTCGCATACTCTTTGCGCAGGGCACTTTACATACACATGGCACCTTGTGATTTTGAGGGATTCTCTGAAGAGCTCTGATCTACAGTGTCATGCCGGCGGAGGCTACAAGCAGAGTAGAAATCACTCCACGGCAAGTATCGCAGCAGAGGTGGTCGTAGTCGTAAGAAATCTGAAGCGCACTGGTTTGAAGTCCTCATGCGAGCCTCAATGTTTGCGCGTGCTGTTGCTAGCCCACTGCGTATGCGATAGCTGTTGCTACCACCGCAGCTTAAAGCAGCTTCACTGCTTTTCAGCTAATCTGCTGACAGGCGTGGTGCGGACATCATGGGTTGGCTCTTGAGCAAGCGAAGTTCCTCTTCAACGGGAGAGCGTTGACAGCTGAGGACAGCAAAGTGCAAAGTAAGAAGCAGAAACTGTGAACGAGTTAGCTCCCAAACAGATGATGTATTGTGCCGGGAGGCTCTTGCAGGTCATCGGCTGCTCACGGTCTGTCAGTGCCCATCTGCCGCAGGACACTTTGATGTCCTTGGGCTGCAGAGGCGAAGAGATCACTTTCAGGGCTGCCAGCAACCAAGATCTAAGCAACATGCACATCCTGGGTTGATCAGAGGTTCTTTGACACTGAGGTGCCACATGATGAAGAGGCTAAGGTATCGAAGCCTTTCTCATGCGACAGCATCAAGTTTGCCGCATGTTCCTGCTGTTGGGCAGGCTGCGGAGCCGCCGAAGCCCGACACAACAGAGACCTCGAAGCCAGAGCCGAAGGAGTCAAAGCAGGCGGGTACCTTGTGAGAACGTCTGGCGCAGATCCCAGCATTTGAGATTGTTCTTGTCTCAGGAGCAGCCAGAGCCATCTGACCAGCTGCAGGCTAAGAGAAACGCCACATGTCGAGGTACTCTCGCAGAGCACGTGCCTCTGTCTTGCAGAGACCTTGCCAAGGCAAAAGGTGTCTGTCAAAGTGGAGGCCGAAGGTGCTGACGGTCTGACCGAACTTCGCTTCAATATGCCAAGCTGACAGAGTCTTTGGGAGTTCTTCCCTGCATGGTTTTATCCAGCTTGAAATTGGCGGCTGCCAGGCGGATGTCTACTCCACTCGCGAAAATGATGCAGGCCTCTCATGCTCCTAATCTAAAACGTACTTGAGCCTCAGACATTGGGCTTGTGCGAAGACCAGCCAAGCTTGTGGTGATCTTCCGTTCTGCTATCTCAGCTATGTAGATCTATGTAGTAGGTGTTTGCTACTTGAGGTTATGAGCATCCGTGGCTGTCATTCTTGGTTTTGGGAGGCCTGGTGCGAGCACAACCAGATTCCCACGAAGGATGTAGAGTTCCTGCTGGGCACCACAGTGCTCAAGCCAGAGGAGCTTGCCAAGTCCGTACGTTGGCAAAGTATGTAGCTGTACGGCTGCTTCTTCACGCAGGACACGCTTTGCAGCCTGGGTTGCATGGGCGATGCAGAGGTGGTTTGCAGAGCTGTCAGTACCCTCAGTGCCTTCCCCTGAAACCCCAGCCCAGGCTGATTGCATTTGCTTTGAGGTTCCGCGCGAAGAAGCGGTCGCAGAACAGAGTGGGGCTTCGGCCGCTCCAGCTGCTGCATCCGCTGCTGCTGCTTTGGCGGCGCCTGCAGAAACGCAGACAAAGGCCTGACATCGGGAATCGGACTGGCGTTGTTGCAGGGGATGGGCAGGCCATGGCCTGCATTCAGGTTGGGTCACTTTAGGGATTTAGGGCACCTGGCCTGAAACTCGAGTATCTGATGTCACTCCACGCGCTCACCACGTACAGCGACTAAGCCGAAGCGCAACGCTTGAAGCTGCGCCACACGCAATCTGAAGGGGGCATCAATAAACGCGCCAGCAAGACTCATGAGTCATTTCCAGAGAGCCTAGGCACAGACCAGTCATAGACCCAATTTGGACATGGAGGGAGAGCCCATGAGATTTTTGCGAATCCTTGCCTATCCCACAGAGGGGCTGCATTTGTGTCATCTGCAGGAATTGGGAGGCAGTCAAAAGCATTTGGCATGTGGCACGGCCCTGGGAAGCAGTCTCATCGCACTTGAACCCAAGATTTTAGAAACAACAACAGTCAACTTGGCCCGCTGCCATTCTCTAGAACTTGGTGTTTCATAAGACCCCAAACTGAGTGGGCTTATGCAGCTGAGGCCTCCAGCATTACAGAACAAACATGGGCTTTCTACATAAGAAGGCAAACGCGGCAAGTTCTCC